AAATACTGATTCAACTAAAGATTCAAGTGATAGACAATTAAAAATATGTTTACATTGGAGTAAACTTTTAAAATGCTTTTTCTCATGTTCTGCTTTTTCATGTATCTATATGTAAATGTGAATGTGTGAGTGTATGTGTGTATGTGTGTATGTAGTGTGTGAATTTTGGGGTTGTGTCTCCAGACTCCTCGAACCACCTGTAGGTCTCAAAGGTCACACTGTGGTGATGTAAACAAGCAAAGTGGGCACTTCCAGATTGCAAAACAACTCACCCACCACTGCCTACAGAAAACCTCACTTTGTGGCCCCGGTCTCACTGCCACCTGCGACCATCGGCCTGTAGTGGGGGAGGGGCACACGGAGGTAGCTCTGTCGCCTTTACGATCTGCGGCTGGTTGGATGGTGTCTACTCTGGGCCACTGTTCTGATCCCTCTGTGTCCACTCCAGCAGTCCAGTGACCCTGTACAGTGTGTGCCCTTGGTTCTGGAAAACAACCTTATAGTCAAATTAAAAACAACAGAGATTGTGAATGAGATTGTTTTTCTCCCTAAAGTCAAAACAATTTTGGAGCTCTCTGGGTTTTCCCAAGCGCTATGTAAATAAAAGATTACTTATTATCTTACTAATGATAAAATTTTAAGACCAGAAACTCTCTTAATAAAAAACAAGACTCAAATCTCTTGAACCTTCAAACTTTAAAATATGTATTATGTACTTTTGTACTGTGTTTAATTATCTATGCATTTATCTCAGCATATATTCTACTAATTTAAAATAATTGCAGCATTTTTCAAATAAAGTCAGTATGAATTGGAGCACATTTTAGACCAGTCTCCTGTGCTGCGTGCATCAGCAGCAGGAGGAAGGTCAGGTGCATAGTCAAAACAAAAACGTCACCGCTTGCAATGGGTGAATTGGGTAGTTTAACTTAATAATACTTTTACAGCTAATGCTAATTCCCTCTTTCTTTTTAGACGAAGTCTATAATCAATAACCACTTTTAACACAGATTCTAATTTAAATGTTTGAAAAACGGCTTTTGTAACTAAAATAAAAACATAAAAAAATTCTCACAAACAGCTATGAAATATATCAGAGATACAATAATGGACTCACAAATAAGCAGCAGATTTAAAAGAATGGAATCTAGAAATATGTTAGGTCTAAAAAGAATTGCACAGCTTTAGCATTAATATTTGGGTTTCAAAAACATAATATTCAAAACTTATTCACTAATGGTGTTTAAAAACGTTTAACTGTGTCATAACACAATATTCAATGGCAAATTTCGCAAATTTAACGGAATAACTACTATGAAAAGCCAAAATCCTAAAAGCAGTAGCTTTGCTCTGATTCAGAGCCAGAGCAGCGAAGGAGGGGGCCGTTTCCCTGACAACGGCAGCAAGATAGAGCGGCGCACACAGGCAGAAAACTTTCAAGATTACTTTGCGAATATAACTTGTAGTTTATACTTTTGTCATCCAAGTCTAGAAGTGATCACTTTCCACACTAGTAACAAAAGGCACTCTTAGTGTTTAATTTCCCTTAGGCTTCTATTTTATTGAGGTAGCAAACTAGTTTAAACTCAAAATCTCTTTCTAAAAAACAAAAACAACTGTTGGATACAACCCTCTCATAGCTTAACTGTAGATAAAACTCGGCAAAAAATGTAAATAACTCACGAAAGCTCTCATAGCTCAACTTTAGATAAAACTCTGCATTCTCCGGTGAACTCTGTTCACTCCAAAAAACAAAAACTCCCTTTTTCTGTATGTAATTTAAACCGTGATCACTGAAATATTGTTGCTTCTTTACTTTTGTCATTTATCAGCCTGAAATTCGTCAATTTCAAAGCTTTTGTAACAAAGGCCTCTTTAACACATTTCCCTTTTTATTGCTTTTATTATTACACCATGGTTTCACTAAGGATCCTACACTTTATCTTTTCTCAAAGGGACTCTAACCCTGAAGCTTCTTCTCAAAGGGACTCTAACCCCGAGACTTCTTCTCAAAGGGACTCTAACCCCGAGACTTTTCCTCAAAGGGACTCTAACCCCGAGACTTCTTCTCAAAGGGACTCTAACCCCGAGACTTTTCCTCAAAGGGACTCTAACCCCGAGACTTCTTCTCAAAGGGACTCTAACCCCGAGACTTCTTCTCAAAGGGACTCTAACCCCGAGACTTTTCCTCAAAGGGACTCTAACCCCGAGACTTCTTCTCAAAGGGACTCTAACCCCGAGACTTTTCCTCAAAGGGACTCTAACCCCGAGACTTCTTCTCAAAGGGACTCTAACCCCGAGACTTCTTCTCAAATACAATTTAGAGAGTTTGACAGACCCCAAAAACAGACCAAAATTTAGCTAGTATCCAATTATACAGACTTTACATATAAAAAGGTGTCTGCTTACCTTATTCTTGTCAAACAGGTACCAAGGACTGTCCGAGAGGTCTGCCAACCTCTTTTCCGCGTCGGAATATTCAATTTAAAAAACAAAAGTGACAGAAGCGACAAGAAGCATCCAGGAACAGCTCTTCCAGCCTGCTGGAATCTCCGCTCCCAGACACAGCATGCCGGTCTCTCATGCAGAGGAAAAGAAACAGAGCAAACTCCCTCAAAACAATCCAGAGAATGGCACAAACCGAGCCGCGCATTCTCCACCAAATCTGTTAGGATTTAGGCAGAGAGAGACGGATCGTAGTGTGCCAAACTCTGGAAGTTTATTTAAGTTTCTCTCAAGTTCCACTGGTTTACTCTGTTTCTTTCCCTCAGACAGAATAAAGGCAGTACACAGTTTATATAGTCATTGTCACGTCACACATCGAAAGACATACGTGTCACAAAGAGACAGTCACATCATAGTCATAACATGGAGTCCTTGTAGAGTCCTTGTACAGTCCTGCACGTAGGCCATATTGCTATCTAATACTAACACTATAATCCATCATTATCAAAGGGTTAAAAACCATATCAGTACTAGTATATAAATATTCACAGTGTATATAAACATAATGTACTAGCTGTAGTCATTAAACAGTATAAATCAAACATTCAATGAACATTCAATAAGCAGTCAATAAGTTAAACAATGAATGCAATATCATTAAATAACATTCATAAGTAAAAGCAAAGCATTACTAATGGACAGAACAGGCATAAAGGCTGCTTGCATAAAGCACATGTTAACCACTCCACTAACACCAAATGGATGTGGCTAGACATGGCTATGCTAAAGTGTGAAATAAGCTACACTCACCAATCCCTTGTGTTCCTCCTCACAAGCGAGCCGATCACTACTGTTTGGCAAATAGAAGGCTCCTAAATGAGGCAAGTTTCTACAATAAACATCAAGCAAAACACAAAGGCATCAAACAGTAAAGTGAGCACACTACACAGCTGCAGCCACTCCCTACACAGCTGCAGCCACTCCCTACACACCTGCAGCCACTCCCTACACAGCTGCAGCCACTCCCTACACAGCTGCAGCCACTCCCTACACACCTGCAGCCACTCCCTACACAGCTGCAGCCACTCCCTACACACCTGCAGCCACTCCCTACACAGCTGCAGCCACTCCCTACACAGCTGCAGCCACTCCCTACACAGCTGCACCCACTCCCTACACAGCTGCAGCCACTCCCTACACAGCTGCAGCCACTCCCTACACAGCTGCACCCACTCCCCACACAGCTTCCCCCACAGCACTCCCTGAACCTGCTCTCCTCTAACCAATAAAACCATGCATTGGCTAGAAGGGATCTGATTGGCTAATGGGTGGAGCAAGCAGTAGGCCAAGCAGTGGTATATTCAAAGGGGAAAACACTAGCAGGATTTGTCACCTGGGTTACATGTCCATGCTCGAAACATGCAAAGAAAACCTTCCACCAGAAATCCAGACTCTGATTGGAAGTGATAGAAAACCTTTAGGAGGATATAGCTAATATTGAGTTATTTTTTCCTTTTCTGTAAATGTTAGGAACTTCTTACTAATATCACTGTGTTTAATATATTTAACTGAAATTTCTAAAAACAATTAGAAATTGATAAAGGTTCCTAAACTTTTGCATACCACTGTACATCATTTTTTTGGACGGGCAACTCTTGTCACCTAGAGATGTCAAACTTCTTTTATTGCTTACCTACTCGTCATTATTGGAAAGGACCTCATACATTGTTAAGAAATTGTATGTTTTATTAGCATATTAATAAATGTGTGTAAGTCTAGACATGATGATAGTTAACCTACTTCTGTTAGTAACTATCCATTAACTAATTTAACTATGTCCACAGTAGAGTAGGCTGAGGACGAGAGGTTTCCTTGTCACAGTAGTTAATGTTTTGTTATTCTGTGTGTGGTGTGTGTTTTTATCTTCTTTAATTCTACATAAATGTATGGGTCTTCATACGTATGTATGGAATGTGATGGGACATGTCAGCATTCAATTGCTAAGATAAGATTTCATGTGACTCTGGGAGGACAATAGCATCTCAGACAGAGGCCTGTCCTGGGATGGCAGGAGACTGCAATACAATGTCTGTGGATGCTTGGGTTGTTATGTCTTGTGACTTCACCAACCCATGAGGCGTCTCTGATACTTAAGCAAGCAGCGTTGCTTGATTTTTGGTCATTCTGCTATTCCATCGAGACCCGGGCTATAGTTTTAGTCTGTAATTTGTCTGTATTCTGCTTATATACATTAAACCTCCCTTTGATATCTAAGCAGAGTCTGTAGTTTCTATTCACTAATCACTGGTTTGTGCGGGAGGGAAACCCAGATAGATTATTTACCATATTTTTGCGTCAGAACAGTTTTTGAAGACGTCACATTTTTGAGGTGGCTTTGGGCTGCATTTTGGTGACACAAGCTTAGACGGGTGCAGAAACATCGGCCGACTTTCTAAGGGTAAACTGTGGTAGAACCAGCATTCACATACATCTTTAAAATTCTTGCACCAAGCACCATGCCCACCGCTCACAATTCCTCTCCCCACTTTACACAGGTTTGAGAGCCTGGACCAGGAGATGAATAGTGTGATGGGCCGGATCCTGGACGTGAACCAGATGGTGCAGCAGCTCCTGGACGGGGGCCACCCTTCTTCTGCAGAGGTCAGGGGCTGCCAGGACCACCTCACCTCCAGGTACTTCCTAGCCCGTGTTTGTTCTTGGTACAAGTGTGGGTTTATTTACACAAAAAGCTGTGTCTTACTGTGCGGTTAGAGGATTGCTTCTTAATTTCATAACGTCCACTTAATTTTGCCTATGCTTTTCCTTATCCTGTTTTTTGTTGTTGTCAATGTTACATATAAGTCACAAACTATTGCTTTGGCTCTCGATGAAAACAAGTTAAGGAGTAAAAGTACAGTAAGGTATGCATACAAACGTCTTTGGACTTGTTTCTATGGCTTGTCAAGGCTCTTGTGCATCCGGCGTCAACATTTCGCTTTGGAACCGATCCTGTAGGGGGCAGAGGTGACACTGTTGCTAGATCAAGGGAGAAGGAGGAGGGGGCAAGTAGTGCTTTGAGTGGGAAACAGCCAGAGGAGCAGCCATGCTTAGACGAAAGGACCGTGGATCTGAGAAGCTCAAGCAGCTAACGCTGTACAGTAGGCAGCTTTAACACAGCACCTCAACTCAACCATGGACCTTACCACACTGACGTAAGATGGTTATGTCACAGAGAAAGCATAAAACTGACCATGATACAGTATGTTGAATTTAACAAAACAACTTCCAAAACGTGATCCATTCTCAACGACTTGCAGCCCAGTGTCTCCTGGTAAAAAAAACGGAAATGTCCAAAAATCATCACCTCCATTTGCGGTTTGAACTTTGTCACAACACCTGCCTTTACCATTGGCACCAGACTGAGAGCGTAGGACCAGTCCACTCCTGCTCTGTCCAACGCACCAGCGACTGCACCAGCACCAGCATCAGCAACAGCATCAGCAACAGCATCAGCAACTGCACCAGTGCTGATTGTGTCCTCAGCTGTTGTGGTATCCAACACAGGCACCAACACTAAAATCTCCTTTGTGATAGTCAAAGTCTCCTGACTTTAATTTGCGTTCAAATTGACTTTCCATATCTGTAGCTAGTTCTGCTGTGTCGTTTCTCAGGACACACCATTTCTGCAGTCTTCATGCAAAGTTTGACAAACTCTCCCTCACTGTACAGCTGCGATGCTAATGCTATGTTGTTAGCACTCAGGTAACTCTGGGACTGCTGTTTCTTCAAAGCCAGACACGTCTGCTCAATTCTCTGCTCAAATTGCCGTATTTTTAGCTGGGTCTCGTAGTTTAAGACTATATTCAACAAGCACCGGTGTGTCATTCACCTCTGTGAGCAAATAAGTATTAGTCCACAACCTGACACTCGATTTCCACTTTTCGCCATTTTCGCCACTTTTCAGACATCTTGATGAGGATCTCACTGTCAGTCACAGAATAGAGCGCTGGTGGGAGCCACCACAGAGGCACTCGACACGCTGCTGAGCTAATCGTTGCGGTGCGTGGTGGAGAAGATTATTATTATTATTTTTTATTATTATTACCATTTACATAATGAGCCATATCAAATCTTTTGGCGGGCCGAATCTGGCACCCAGGCCACATAATTGACACCCCTGCTTTAGACATGTGCTAATGCCCCTGCTGGTCACAGATGGAACTGCATCGTGGAGCTGGTGGAGCAGAAGAAGCACCAGCTGGACTCCATGCTCCGGCTGCAAAACTACCTCCTGGAGTGTGCAGAGATCAAGTCCCACATCCAGGAGAAGAGAAAGGCCATCGACGCCACGCAGTATGTGAACAGTGACCTGGGGGGCGTGATGGCCCTGCAGCGCCGCCTTACCACCATGGAGGGCGCTCTGGCTGTGCTGGAGCCCAAACTGCTGCACCTACAGGTGAACCCACAATGAATGAAATTAATGAGTTCAGCTGAAACGAAATTTAATGAAGCACGGAGACTGTTGACAAATAACCACGTTGTCATCGGCCGCTGTGCTTCACATTATGTTCCCTCTAATCTCGAAGCGGATCTGAGCAAAATCAAGTAAGTCCCTGAGCAGCCTCTTGAAGCACTGTGACCGAGCGATCTCTGTCCAAAACCTGTTTTACTCTGCACATACCAAAGAAATGAATAACTTTGAAACTTTATTAAGTGATTCGTTATTAATGAGAACGTATTAATCAATATTAAAGGAGCAATATGTAATATTTGCATGTCAAGTCATCATTAAATGACCCGAATATTTCAAAAGGCGTTATTAAATCATACTCTTTTCGAATTCATCTTTAACTGATAACAGTAGTTCAGCCGAGATATTTGATCATCAAAATTAGTTTTACGACCCGTAAAAGTTGTTATTGTTTTGATGTTGATGTCCTACCCTCCGCCGTTTCGCCAATCAGGAAGTGTCATGTAAGTCCGTGATCGGGTTGCCAGAACTCCGCGCGGCTCATTAATCTCAGAGGTAAAATAACATGTGGCGTAGAACTAAAAAAGGTCTTGTTATGACTCTCAAATAATTAATGACAAAACAAAGACTAAAACGAGGATTTATATCGGGATGCCTTTGAACAATTGAGACAGCTGATAAAAGTTCACGTGTGATGCAGAATTTTCTAGTTTGATTCCGTTCTTCTCAGTGTCTCATTCGTGTGTATCGGTGGCCTAGTGGTCTAAACTGTGCGCTTACGACGCAGGAACCCGGGTTCGATCCCAGGCTATGTCTTTTTGTATTTATTGCATGTTATCACATTCTATGACAGATTGCTCTAAAAACGGTAAAAGATGAAGGTCAAGACGTTTTTTTGCAGATTATAGCTTAATTGTAAAAATAATCATTTAAGACCACATGTACCCCAATTAAAATAATGTTAGTCTCTTTTTGATGTGGGACTTTTACATGTTTGTCTAAAAAATAGGGAATAAATAAAATTAAAGGTGATATCCTCTTGAGCAAACCCTGATGTTGATACGCTGAAGAAATACATCCATTCTTCCCACTCCTATTTTGGACATCAATTTCTTATTTATTTTGCATAAACTATGTATAATTACATTGCTTTTATTTTGTTTTTGTTTTTTATCTCAAATGTCCAAATTATAATAATAAAAAAACATGAATCAAAACATTCATTCAGCATTAGCACGGCTCATGGCAATGTGAATGGAGACGGACAAACAACTGATAAAATAATTTCCTGTGTTTGCTGCTGGATTTGGTGTGAATCTGGCAACCTGAGTCAGGGAGAGTGGAAGAGGACTACACAATATGGACTGTGACTGCAGTACCACTTTTGGCCAGATTTTTACATATTGCTCCTTTAAGTAAAGTCATTAATATGTAAATTGCAGTTTTGACCCCGTTTCCAAAAAAGCTGATCTAAAGATGTGACAACAAGCGATTGAACTAGATTTACTCGAATGTCCAATGTGTTTACATCTATTTCCTTTATTCCAGTGCTTGATACCAGTGTCTGTTGGATTTATTTAATCATAGCTTTGTAGTATTACTCAATGTTTAGGATTTTGTGAAAATATGTAGAACATTACATTATTCATAAGCTAAATTCAGTTTGCATTTGGTAGAAGCTCGTTATATATAGATAGCAGTTCCCGACACGGCTGTACTGCAGGGAGAGGCTTGACTGTGGCGTGTGTGCAGGAAGAAGCAGAGCACCTGGCCACAGCACACCCTCCTCGTGCCATGGAGGTGCTGGTGGCCTTCGATGGCCTGAGCGTGGAGTGGGAGGAGCTGAAGAGGACGCTGCAGGGCTGTGAGGACTCGCTGATGGTGGCCGGCCGCCTGCAGAGCTTCATCCAGGTACGGTCTCCTCTGCTGCGAGACACATGCTCTCAGTCACCATTCACATGTTTGCTGCATAGTGTATTAATGAATAAAAGCACACAGTTTTGGTAAGAAAAGTTTTATTTGCATTGCACAATTCATACAAGCCAACTAAAGTGATGTATAGATCAAGAAAATAGACATTAACATAAATACAAAACACTGTAATATCCGTAGTTTTTAGGGATATTATGAAAAATTGAATTTTATTTTAATTATTTTACAACATTGTTCCACATAAGAAATTAGGGACCTGGGGTTGTTTCAGCTCCAGGCTAAAATCAGGAATTTCTGTTTGCCATTATGTCTAAATCAGGGGTGACCGCATAAGGAAGAGAAAATGTTGTGGGGGGCCGGGTCAAAAATTTGAAGCTGCAGGAGTCTGTTTGAGAAGGAGCTCCTTTGCCCCTCTATAGTCCAGTGGAGTGGATGTGCTGGATTGTCCATGATGAAAAGCAGTTTTTCCAGTGTCCTTCTGACTCACTGTTGTAAATGTCTCCAGCTGACAGCCAATGACCTGTCCAGCTTTACGGATCAACTCGTCAATCCGAAATTCGAACACCCCTACATGGCGTGACCACTACATAGTGCACTATGTAGGGAATAGTGTGGACATTCGGATACATCTATTATATTTTCAAGATAGAGATTTTATACTTATTGATGCTAGAGTTAGATTGTTTTTATTTGTATTAGTATAGCTATTGTTCACTTAACGTGTGATGTGTGCTCCTCTTTCCTACTGTTCTATAACCTGTGATGCAACACCGAAATTTCGATCTCTTAATCTTAATCAGCCAATGTCTCTCTCGCTCTATGCGTACAGCTTGATGTCATCCATGTAGAGCAGATGACTGATCTTTCCTCCGTTCCTGAGGTGGTATCCATAGTCAGTCTGGTAGATTATTTGGCTTAGAGAGTTCAGGCCTATGCAGAACAGTAGTGGAGACAGAACATCCCTTTGGTAGATGTGTTATTATATATATATATATATATTAGTGCTGTCCAAAATATCGCGTTATTAACGCGTTAACGCAAATCAATATTAACGGCGTCATTTTTTTTATCGCGTGATTACTTTTTATTGCAGACAAACACATATAAAGAAAAAAAAAATAGAAACAAAGAAAAGGACTAGTTAAGATACATTGTAGACAGAGATTACAAACAATATGTAGTTGGAGATACAGGGGGCCAAAGAAGAAACCCAGAAGGGCACATAGGAGGGGAGGGGGGGGACATGAAGTGGGAGCTGGGGGGGAGGGGTTAATAAAAAAGGCAATAGAAGCAAACAGTATACAGTCATAGATATACCGAAGGTAAACAGAGAAACAGCATAGAGTATTTACATGAACAAATTTACAAAATATTAAAAAAAGCAATTGCACACAGCACGCCTATTCACTTTTTAGTAGTATTAAAATGATAATTCAAGGGACATAAAGAATAGATACAAATGTGTGACTAATTTGCGATTAATCGCGAGTTAACTATGAAATTCATGAGATTAATCGCGATTAAATATTTTAATCGTTGGACAGCACTAATATATATATATATACATATATACATATACATATATATATATTATATACATATACATATAAGGCAAGGCAAGGCAAGTTTATTTATATAGCACAATTCATACACAAGGCAATTCAAAGTGCTGAACAGAACAAGAAAGCATTAAAATCATAAATAATCACAGTACATTAAAAAAAAGATAAAAATATAAAATCCCTCAGTTGTATGCACAGCTAAACAGAACTGTTTTCAACCTTGTCTTAAACATTGTCAGAGAGGAGGCCTGTCTCACATCTTCAGGAAGACTGTTCCAGATTTTAGCAGCATGAATCTGAAAAGCAGCCTCCCCATGTTTAGTTCTGACTCTGGGCACTAACAGGAGTCCAGTCCCTGTGCTCCTCAGAGTCCCAGCAGGAGTCCAGTCCCTGTGCTCCTCAGAGTCCCAGCAGGAGTCCAGTCCCTGTGCTCCTCAGAGTCCCAGCAGGAGTCCAGTCCCTGTGCTCCTCAGAGTCCCAGCAGGAGGCCAGTCCCTGTGCTCCTCAGAGTCCCAGCAGGAGTCCAGTCCCTGTGCTCCTCAGAGTCCGGGCTGGTTCATATGGGACTAACATGTCACTAATATAGTTTGGTGCGAGGCCATGGAGAGACTTGTACACAAGCAGAGCTGTTTTAAAGTCTATTCTCTGAGCCACAGGAAGCCAGTGCAGAGACCTGAGGACCGGACTAATGTGGTCGTACTTCCTGGTTCTAGTCAGGACTAATGTGGTCGTACTTCCTGGTTCTAGTCAGGACTAATGTGGTCGTACTTCCTGGTTCTAGTCAGGACTAATGTGGTCGTACTTCCTGGTTCTAGTCAGGACTAATGTGGTCGTACTTCCTGGTTCTAGTCAGGACTAATGTGGTCGTACTTCCTGGTTCTAGTCAGGACTCGAGCTGCTGCATTTTGAATGTACTGCAGCTGTTTTACAGCCTGTTTGGACAGACCTGTGAGCAGGCCATTGCAGTAGTCTAACCTACTGGAGACAAATGCATGGATAAGAATCTCCAAGTCTGCTTTAGACACTATGTTTTTGATCCTGGCAATGTTTTTTAGATGGTAAAAAGCTGCTGATGTTACTGATTTGATGTGGCTATAATAATTTAAGTCTGAGTCCAGTATTACCCCTAGATTTCTGACCTTGTTTGAAGGTTTTAGGGAGAGAGACTGTAGGTGACAGATGACGCTCTCTCTTTGTTTCTGGGGACCAAAGACAATCATTTCAGTTTTGTCTGCGTTTAGCTGAAGGAAGTTGTTTTGCATCCACTCACTGATCTGTTGGATACAGTGAAGGAGTGAGTCCACTGGTCCATGTTCTCCTGCAGTCAGTGAGACATAGATCTGAGTGTCGTCTGCATAGTTATGATAGGACACTTTGTTTCTGCGTATTAACTGACCTAACGGCAGCATGTAGAGATTGAACAGAAGAGGTCCCAGGATCGACCCCTGTGGCACTCCACAGGTCAGGGCCATATGATCTGAGACACAGTTTCCAATCTCCACAAAGTACTTCCTATCTTCAAGGTAAGACCTAAACCAACTTAGGGCGGTGCCAGCGACTCCAACCCAGTCCTCTAGTCTCTGTAAGAGGATCTCATGGTCGACAGTGTCAAAGGCAGCACTTAGATCTAACAGGATTAGGATTGAGACTTTGCCTGCGTCAGTGTTCAGCCGGATATCGTTTGTAACCTTGACGAGAGCAGTCTCAGTGCTGTGGTGGGGTCTAAAGCCGGACTGAAACATATCAAATGAGTTGTTAATTATAAGAAATCTAGTAAGCTGTAGGTAGACAAGTTTTTCAAGGACTTTCCCCATAAATGGCAGATTTGAGATGGGACGATAGTTGTTAAGTACCGTAGCATCGAGACTGCTCTTTTTTAGCAGGGGCCTGATGACTGCAGTTTTCAGGGCCTTTGGGAATATTCCAGAATGAAGGGACATGTTTACTATCTGTGTGAGTGAAGGTAACAGACTGCTCAGAACAGACTTCAGAAATCTAGTGGGTAGTACATCCAGGCTGCATGTGGAGGAGCTCAAACTGGAGATTATTTCTTGGACAGTTTTATCATTTACAGGTGCAAAGTGAGTTAGCTCAAAGAGCCTTTCTGGCTGTTGGATGGTTATCTGTGGATTGGAGACAATGGCGTTTTTGATGCCTTGAACCTTGTCATTGAAAAAGTGTGCAAACTCATTACATTTACGTTTGGAAGTAAGCTCTAATGGCATTTGAACAGGGGGGTTTGTTAATCTATTAACTGTTGAAAACAGAACACGCAGGTTGTTACTGCAGCCTTCAATCATTTCAGAAAAATACCTTTCTCTCGTACTACGTAGCACCCGGTTAAACTCGCACAACTTATCTTTGAAGATCTTGTAATCAATCAATATATATATATATATATATATATATATATATATATATATATATATATATATATATATATATATATACAGGGGTGCACATAACTTTTTCAGTGAGGTGCTCAGATGAGTACCAGGACATGGTGTTTGGTACTCACTCCATTTGTCGCGCGGTTCTTAATAGAGATTTTATACTTGATTCTTTTTAATTCTAAAGTTTAGATCATCTCAGATAATCCACTCAATCCAAATCAAATAACCCGTTAAGGCCTGACACAGCTGATAAACAGACCTGCTAAACCTACGGCCGACTTCAGAACCACCTCCAAAACCTGAGGTTTTCCTAAAATTCAACGTCTACAGAATGATTAATATCTCGGCCTCTGGAGCAGATAGAAACATCGTTTCAAAAGAATCTGAGAGCTGTCACTCTCATAAAAATGCAGTGTATTATTATAATCCTTCAGTAGAATAATAAATAAGATTATACAACTTCCACACAGGAAAGGTAATAAAACAACCAATAATAATGTGAGACTAACACATGTTTCTCAAAACAATAAGTCAAAAATAGTTTGGCAATAAAGTGGCACTAACTATGTAGAAAATACTATTTAAAAAAATTCACTCTCAGCCCAAAAGGCCAATAATGACTCACAAGCCTCTTTCTTAATTAAGTAAAATAAAAAAACAAGACTGTTTTGGTTTGTTCTGTTTGATTTGTTCACAACTTTTTATTTTTGTGCACAAATAACATGCATTTTCCCTGCTAGCGAAAATGTAGGTACCTGAGCTTTAATTCAGTGACTTCTGGCTGCGCTTCGTGAGGAGACTTGGGGGAGACGTGGGAGACAGGCAAGACCCTCACGTGCTATGTGCACGCAACGCGCACGTGTGTTCTGCACGCGCGTCTATGGTCCGCGCTCGGTACATGACAACGTCTATGGTCCGTGCTCGGTACATGACAACGTCTATGGTCCGTGCTCGGTACATGACAACGTCTATGGTCCGTGCTCGGTACATGACAACGTCTATGGTCCGTGCTCGGTACATGACA